TGATAAAGGGTGAAAAGACTGAAGTTTTGAAGGATTTCATTTTACTTGGATCCACAATCAACACCCATGGAAGCAGCAGTCAAGAAATCAAAAGACGTATTGCATTGGGCAAATCTGCTGCAAAAGACCTCTTAAAAATGTTAAAAAGCAAAGATGTCATTTTGAGGACTAAGGTGTGTCTGACTCAAGCCATATTTTCAATTGCCTCATATGCATGTGAAAGCTGGACACTGAATCAGGAAGACAGAAGAATTGATGCCTTTGAATTATGGTGTTGATGAAGAATATTGAATATACCATGGACTGCCAGAAGAACGAACAAATCTGTCTTGAAGAAGTACAGCCAGAATGCTCCTTAGAAGTGAGGACGGCAAGACTTCATCTCATGTTCTTTGGACATGTTATCAAGAGGGATCAGTCCCTGGAAAAGGACATCATGCTTGGTAAAGAGTCAGCTAAAAAGAGGAAGACCCTCAACGAGCTGGGATGACACAGTGGCTGCAACAATGGGCTCAAACATAGCAGTGATTGTGAGGATGGTGCACAACCAGGCAGCGTTTTGTTCTCTTGTGTATAAGGTTGCTATGAGTTGGAACCAACTTGACTTCACCTAACAACAGTCTTTACAGAAGGAGCCCCAGTGGTGCAGCAGTTAGAGTGCTTGGCTGCTAACCAAAAGGTCGGCGGTTTGAACCCACCAGCTGCTGCATGGGAGAAAGATGTGGTAGTCTGGTTCCATAAAGATCACAGCCTTGGAAACCCCATGGGGCAGTTCTACTCTGTCTTATAGGGTTGCTATGAGTTGGAATCAACTCGATGGCAGTGGGTTTGGTTTTTTTGGTTAATCTTTATGGAAGCCGACTGCCACATCTTTCTCCTGAGGAGTGGCTAGTGGGTTCAAACCACTGACCTTCTGCTTAGCAGCTGAGCGCTTAACCACTGAGCCACCAGGGCTTCTTGTGATCAACCATAGTCAGTGTACTGCAAAAAATTTCAAATGAAAGGTAATAAAGATAAATTAGTATTTACTGGGCACTGTGCTATGAACTGTTAATATTCTTTAAACATAACAACTCAGTTCATGGCCAGACTAGGGTGAGGCAAGTGAGGCACTCACCTGTGGTACAAAATTTAAGGGGTGCCAGAAACCATAGTAGTTAAGTTAAATCATATTTTATTCATTTAAAAATAATGTTTTAATGTTAAAAAAAAAAAAAAATTTGGCAAACTACAGCCCAAGAGCGGCTGCCTGTTTTTGTAAATAAAGTTTTATTGGAACCAGAGCCGGTATTAGGGGTGAGGTGAGTAAGGCCAAGTCATCAAGTGCAGGGTGGGAACTTCTATTTAAAACCTCGGTATTTTCTTCATCATGGGTTTTTTTTTTTTTTTTGGTGCATTGATTTTGATTTTTAAAAATATTGTGTTAAAATATTATTTATATTGATTATTGAGTTTTTTGTAGTTCCTTTTGTTTTTGCACCTAAGGTGTCAACCTTAAGAGGGAGGCACTAGTATTATGTATCCCCATTTTATAAATGAGGAGACCAAGGCATAGAGAGATGAACTGAGCTGCCCAAGAATCACATAGAGGGAAAACTGGCTGAGCTGGGATTTGAACCTGGACAGCCTGGCTCCAGCTGCCATGGAAGGCCCTGTCCACTCTCCCTGCCCTAGGAAGAAGCGTGGTTGTGGGAGGAAGGTCAGCTTTTGGGCAGGCCGTTCCATAAATTTATTATAAAGCAAAGGGGTTGGGGCATGGTAGGGAGAGCCAGGTTGGTTACTTTTGGAGTCCATCCAGGTCCCCTCTCAGGAGATGGTAGTGCCTAGGGCTGCCCGGAGCTCCTTGGGGGCAAAAACGCCCAGCTCCGTGATGATGCCACCGGTGATGAGGTCATGTGGGGTGACATCGAAAGCAGGATTCCAAACCCCGATCCCTGCAGGAAGAGAGGGAGGCAAGAAGGCAGAGTGAGGGGTGGCATGTCTGCCACCCTTAAGTCCCTTGCTCTGTCCTCGTCATACGGCTCTATAAAAGTTCTCAGGCTGCTGTCACCTGCAGAGGAACCTCTGAGAATCTGGGGATCCTCACCCAAAAAATACATGAGGGTATGGGCTTTCGCACTCAGTAGCAAGTGAAGACTTCCTGCCTTTCCTGGATTGTTGCTGCCCACAAGGAAGGCTTTGAAATCTTATACGTCTACTCCACTTCTTATTTCTTCTTCAGGTGAGAAAACAGAGGTGCAGCATAGCAAGACAATTTGTTCACGGTCTCATAACTCGTTAGTCACAAATTCTATCCTGGAATTTTGCTTCCTGAGATGTTCTCATTAGAATAAATGGTTTGAAGGAGCTATCTACGTCCCAGAAGGCAGACGATACCCCAAATGCCACTGGTTCGGCGTGAAGGGAGCCGAGGCACCTGAATGGAGGTGCCCAGGTGCTGTAGTGACCCTCAAGTGGATAGCTTACCGGGCGCCGCAATCCTGACCCCGTTGACATCAGTCAGTTCCTGGCCCGGCCGCTCCTCGATGACAATGTCCTGGCCTGTCTCCAGGCGGAGGTCACATGAGGAGCTGGGGGCAGCCACATAGAAGGGGATGCCATGGTACTTGGCGGTGATGGCCAGCTGGTAGGTGCCCACCTTGTTGGCCGTGTCACCATTGGCAACCACACGATCAGCTCCCACGACGACAGCTAGGGGGCAAGATGTCAAGGGTCACTTCCTAGCCCTGGATGCCTGGGACACAGCCCTCCCGTGCCCTGCCCACTGACCTGACACGCCCCTGTGAGCCATGGCGGTGGCAGCCATGCTGTCGGTGATGAGGGTGGCAGGGATCTGCTCGTACACCAGCTCGAAGGCAGTCAGCCGGGCTCCCTGGTTGTAGGGCCGGGTCTCTGTGCAGAAGGCACACTCCAGACGGCCCAGGCGATGCAGCGAGCGGATCACCCCTGTGGGGCCCATGCCACCAGGAGAGGGCCGGGATGAGCCAGACAGGGATAGACCGGCAGGGTTGCAGAGTGGTTAGGGGCATGGCTCTCTGGAGGCACACAGGCAAAGTTCCAGCCCGTACCTTAGCACTGGCTCTTCCATCTGCCTGGTACAATCTTCTCAGACACCCATATGGTTTCCTCATCATCTTCACATTTGCTTCTCGGGATGGCCTTCTCAGTTCCCTGGTTTCAAATAGCATCCCCCACCCCTCAACACCTCTGGAGCCCTGGTGGTGCAGTGGTTAAGAGCTCGGCTGCTAACCAAATGGTTGGCAGTTCGAATCCACCAGCTGCTCCTTGGAAACCCTATGGGGCAGTTCTACTCTGTCCTACAGGGTTGTTATGAGTCAGAATCAACTCGACAGCACCTAACAACAACAACAACCAACACCTCTGATCCCCTTCCCTTGCTTTTCCGCCTTGGCACTGATCACCTTCTAACACATTGTACATATTTACTTATCTTGTTTATTGTCTGTTTCTCCTACTTTCCTGGGAGCTCTGTGAGGGCAGGGATTTTTGTCTGCTTTGTTCACTGTGATGTCTCCACAGCCTAGAACAGGGCCTGGCACACAGCTGGTGCTTAATAAATGTTTGGTTGAGTGAATCAATGAAAGACAAGAGTCTTGCCATCAAGATCTCAGTCTCCAGGGATAAGGGTGGGACTGGAAAGGTGGGAGAAATCTGGGGAATTTAGGGTCAAGTAGAATCTGCTGCCTGTATCCCCAGGACCCACCCCCCCTTCCCTGGTCACAGCTACCCCAGTCTTTCTTTGGGGGACCACTCTTGTTATGGATTGAATTGTGTGCACCAAAAATACGTGTTGTAAATCCTAACCCCTACACCTGTGGCAGAGCCCTGGCGGTGCAGTGATTAACCAAAAGGTCAGCAGTTTGAATTCACCAGCTTCTCCGTGGAAACCCTATGGGGCAGTTTTACTCTGTCCTATAGAGTCGCTATGAGTCAGAACTGACTCCATGGCAATGGGTTTTTTTTTTTAATACCTATGGCTATAATCCCATTTGAGAATAGGTTTCTTTGTTATGTTAATGAGGTAGTACTAGTGTAGGGTTTGTCTTAAATCTCTTTTGAGATATAAAAGAGCAGACTAAGTAAACAGAGATGCGGGAAGATACACGACACATGAAGATCACCAAGGAACTGAGGAGCAGAAGCTGAAGAGATAAGGACCTTCCCCAAGAGCCAACAGAGAAAGACTTCCCCTAGAACTGGTGCCCTGAATTCAGACTTCTAGCCTAAACTGTGGAAAACAAATTCCTGTTTGCAAAGCCACCCACTTGTGGCATTTCTCTTAGAGTAGCACTAGATAACTAAGACAACTCCCTTCCCCAGTCCTCTTGGAGTCCACACCCTGCCCACTCTCTAGGCATATGGCTCAGGCTGGGCCCACGTAACTGATCCAAGTTGGGCAGGTGACCCCATTTGAGCCCCTGAGACACAAGGAGACTTCTGGCACTGCTGGTGAAGAGACCCTTGGCTCTTTTCCTTGTGACCTGGAAGCCCCCTTGCCAACTGTGGAGCCTGAGGATGAAGCCACCATGGAGGACAGAGGTGAGGGGCAAGATGGATCCTGACGCTACTGTTTGAGCCCCTGGATCCTGCGATACCTGAAGCCAACTACCTGAGCATTTCTGTTACAAAAGCTAATAAATTCACATATTTTGTGAGTTAAGGAGTGTGGGTTGGTTTTTTTTCTCTTACATCAAAAAAAAGAAAACAAACGCCCGACTAGGTGGAGGATGGGGGAGGGAGGACCCTAGAAGGCTCTCCCCCTGCCCTGCAGAGGCCAACTCACCCAGGGCTGTGCCATAGCCAGCAGTGGCCAGGGCGCCGGTATTACAGTGGGTCAACACAGTCACCTTGCCGCCCCCAGGGGCTGCCCGCTCCAGAAGGTGGTGGGCTCCCAGGTCCCCGATACTCCGATTGTCCTTGAGGTCTTTCTCCAGCATGTCCTCCGCATAGCAGATCACCCTGGGGCCGACAAGGGTCTCTCAGCACATGGGGCCAAGCTGGCCCCTCCTCCCTGCCGACTGCTGCTCTATAGGGGGCCCTCCTGCTCCAAGCCCCTTGCCACTGTAGGCCTGCAACTTTTCGCCAAAGCCACTGAAATGTCACCCATTCACTCCTACAACAAATGTTCCCTGAGGCCTTCTGTGTGCCAGGCCCTGGGTGGGATGCGACACACCAGTGAACAAACACCTGTGGAGCTGACAGTAGGGTGGAGAGAGTAGTCGAGCAGAGTAAAAGCAGCAGGGCCTGGAGAGGCTGAGCTGTATTATACAAGGGCCTCAGGAGAGCCTCCCATGCAGATAAAGGCAGAGGGGGCATAATACACCTGGCTCACAGAAACCACAAGTGCAAAGGCCCTGAGGCAGGAGAAGCCTGGTGGGGTCAAAAAGCATGGGTTTGACTGGTGTGGCCGGGGAGGAGGGCGGGAGTGGGAGGAAAACAGGGCTGGGAGGGGACCAGACCAGGAAACAAAATGCCTCAAAAGCAAAATCCAGAAGAGCAAATGGCACTGAAGAGGGCCTTCCAAGGCAGGAGGGGGCTGGGCATGCATGTCCGGGGCGGCACAGTCAAGAGGTTGAGTGCTGGGACCCTGTGGTCAGTTTCCTCTGGGTCGACTCTCAGCCCTGCCTGTGTGACCTTGAACAAGGGACTTAAGCGCATGGTGCCTCAGTTTCTTCACCTGTAAAATGGGCCTCTGTGCATAAGTCACTAGCTGCCACTTAGAGCAGGGCCTGACACATGGTCAGCGCGCTCGACACACCGTCCCCTACCTCTCCCGGACCGCCTCGTCGGTAGCGCCCTCTCGCTCGGCCTCCTGGGCGGCAATCTCGGCCAGGTCTCGGGCGGCGCGGGCCATGTTGACGGCGGTCGGCCGGGCGGTGACTAGGAAGCTCAGTGCGTCGCGCACGAACGCCACGAGTGCGGTGAGCCCGGGCCCCCCGGCGCCAGCCTGCAGCTCCACGGCGAGGCTGAGGCAGCCTACGAGAGCGATGGCTGGGGCCCCGCGCACCTGGAGGGGCCAGGATCGGGGGCGTCAGGAACGTCAGGTACACACCTCCCTCCTACCCAAGCTCCGCCGCACGGTCCCAACCTTCATGGCGCGGATGGCCTCCCAGGCCTGGCGCACCGAGCTCACTGCCTCGTAGCGACTCTGCTGGGGCAGCAGCAGCTGATCTAGGATCTGCAGAGAGCCCCGCGAGTAGCGGATCGCCTCTAGAGACATGATGCAGCCTTAGCGAACCCCACCGCTGAGGGGGCACCGGGAGCCGGGCGCGCACGTGGGAAGGGGCTGGGCTGCTCCGGAACGCGCGGAGGGGGCGGGGCTCCCCCCGGAAGGAGACGTGCGCACCACATCTCCGGGCTCCCAGACCCGCCGCCCACGTGACCGACCCGGTCGCATCCCGGACAGTTAGCCGCCGGCTTGAAACCGAAAAGGGGGGACCATATATGGAGGTCGGCTATTGGACACCAGGCCCTGTTTAGGAGTCGGCTGACGAAAGATCGGTGGTCATGGCATCACCCCCAAATTACAGGTGTGCAACCCGAGGTGCTCCGCCTTGCCCAAGGTCATAAAGACAGAGCGATTTGACGTGTCTTAATGCTACCACAGTGCCCTAAGAGGCCGAATGCCATGAGAAATTGAGAGGACTCAAGGTGGCCACATATCAAATCAGGGCGCGGACTGGGGTGTCCAAGGCGCCGGTTCTTAATTGCTGCCGGCAAGACCATTCCATCTTCGTGGGGACCCAAAGCTGGCGGCCGGAGAGCCTTGTAAGGCCGAATTCCCGGAACCTCGGCCAAGGGCAGATGTCTGTTACTGCTCTGGCCACCGTGGCTGGACAGGGCCGGGCACACAGCAAGGGCTCCAATAGTTAATTATCTTCGCTCTCCAAGGCTTAGAGAAAGCTGGTAGAAGGTAGTGGCCGTGGGCGCCCTCTGGTGGATGGCCATGCCGGCGGCTATCTCTGGGCCGCCTTCCAATGGCTTTACCAGTTTTCTCCAGAAGGATGCTGGGCCTTTCTATCTGCCCCTTCCAAGGCATCCCCGTGGGCGGGGGACAGTGAAGAGCCTACAAAGTCCTGTGTGCAAGTGCAACCCGCCTTCCTCTCCCTCACGCCCTGGCTTTGTCTGGCACCGATCCTGGGCAGCCAGTGGGCTCCTCCATCCCCAGCCTCACTGTGGGTCCTGCTGCCTAGGCCCCTTTCCACCCTTCACATGAAGCCCGTGTCACCTCCTCTGAGGAGCCTGCCCTGGCATCAGCATTTTCTGGGTAAAGCAGCAGGCAGCCCTGGGCCCGGCTAGTAACTGGAGGCAGGGACAAAGAGGCAGGGCTTTAATATCGGATGTGGGGTCTCACAAGGCACAAACACCCTCAGGGGACCAAATAAATAACTCCATTGTCCTGGGAAGGCGAGGTCTGGGGAGAGGCCGGCGTCTAAGCAGGCAAGTCCTGGAGTCACTCACTCTCCGAGTCGGAGTAGTCTGCCACCAGGGAGGTGCTGAGGCTGCAAGGGTGCGGGGCATCCGAGGTGTCAGCTGCCTCCTGGGGTGAGCCTTGTGGGGGCAGGGGCCTGTCCTGACAGCAGCTCTCGGGGGTCTCAGCTGTCTCCTGAGAGCAGTCTTGTGGGAACGTGGGCCTGTCCTGGACAGTCCCCTTTGGCACCTGTGGCTCCCTGGATTTGGGGGTCCCAGATGCATCTTGGGGGCTCTCCAGGACTTCCCGTGACTGCCGCCGCACTATGCCCAGGTCCCCCACGGTGATGGGGGAGCTGGCGGCGGTGGACCTGCGGTTTTGGGCCAGCTTCTTCAGGACGCTGCCAGCTTTGCTGTTGCCACTGCCGGCTCCAGATCCAGAGGCAGAGGAGAACCAGGAGCGGCTGATGATCTCTGTCCGCTTGAGTTTCTGTTTGTCCTCGTAGGCTGGAAGGGGAGGGGAGGAGAAGGAGTTTGAGCCAGGCAGGGGCCTGGAGCCACCCTCCACCTGGCCTGCCACAGCTGGGCCCCTGCCCCCACTGCCCCCCACATACAGTCCAAGGTGTGGAACTTGAGCAGGGCAGCCAGCTTGCGGTCTTCCTCTGTCTCGGGCACCAGTGGGATGGCCAGGCTCGCCTTGGTCTGCAGCGCCTGGTCCCTTTCCTCCTCCTCCTTGATGGCTTTCTTCTTTGCCTGAGGGGTGGGGAGGGGGGGACAGCAAGGGGCTTCAGACCTTCTCCAGCTCTGCAGACTCAGTCTCCTCCTCTGACAGCTCGTGTGGGGACATCAAAGTCGATCCACAAGAGGCAAACACAATCACTGACATGGGTACCATTCATTCCTTCACTCATTCATTCAACAACTATTTACAGAAGGCCTCTGGGTGGCAGGCCTTGTTCTAAGCACCGGGGCCTAGTAGTGAGCAGACAAAACCCTTGCCCTCAGGGAGCTGACATCCTAGGGGATGAGGCAGACACGAAACAAGCTGTTGGAGTGAGGGGGCCATGTGGGTATCTCAGGAGAAGTACTGCAAGGCAGAGAACAGCAAGGGCAAAGGTCCTGAGGCAGGAGGATGCTTGGAGCAGTTGAGGAGCAGTCAAGAGGCCAATGTGACTGGAGCAGAGTGAGCATGGAGGCAGTGGGAGGAGATGAGGGCAGGGAGGTCACGGGGCAGGTCGTGCAGGGCCTGATGGGCTTCAGGGAGGACTCTGGCTTTTGTTCTGAGCAGTGGCATCACTATGGGGGTGCTGGGGGTGCAGACCACACCGGGTGACAAGGTCAGGAGATGACACCAAAATGGCTAAAATTTTTGTGCAGTGTTTCAGCAGAAATTTATGATTTTTTTATAACAAAAACATTTCTCTTAAGCCGAGGTTACATATATCAATACCTACAAGGCTAAAGCTCTATGCTGATTTACTTTTTGAAACTTCTAACGCACTCTGGTCAGAGCTGTGGTTACTATCCAATTACAATGATGCTTTGAATCACATTGTTTCATCTGTACTTGCTACAAGTACGCACTGTTGTTTGTTACTGCAGGTGTTTTTACAGTCACTGATTTTGTCAAACTTTCTGATGTTTTAGCTACAATACTGTGGTAATTAGTATTTGTGAACCTATATCAGTTAACTTTGTTGACAACAAAGTAGTAATTATGGGAAAAGGAGGAGAAAAAACATAAATACATTGAGGCTGTGTGTATAATATTGTGATTTAAAGGTGTAATTTTAATTTTGCTGGTTGTTCATGTCACTACCATTGCCATTACATTCAGTGATATACAGGAATTATGATTTATGAATAACATATGAGTATAGAAACATTACTAAGGAGGAGTCTGTATGTTCTGGTACCGGACTCTGTGTGTGTGTGTGTGTGTGTGTGTGTGTGTGTGTGTGTGTGAGAGTGAGTGTGTGAGTGAGTGAGTGAGTGTGTGAGTGAGTGAGATACCAGCCCTAGTGATGCCACTGGCTCTGAGTGAGGTAGGAGCCATGGTGGCTTCTGAGCAGAGGGATGTGCCTTGACTCGCAAGTTCGCAGGCACCCTCTTGTTGCTGCAGGGGAAACAGATTGTGTGTGTGTTGCAGGGGGCGGGCAGCTGGGAGACCAGAGAGGAGACACCTGCGCTGGTCCCGGTGGGAGATGACGGGCCAGGACTGCGTGGGAGCTGGGGAGTAGAGAGAAGTAGGTGGATTCTAGCTCTCATTTGAAGGAGGAGCCTGGCATCTGTCCCCTGTAAAGGGGACAGATGCGGGGAAGGGGGTGAGGAGTTCAGGCCTACTATGCCTGAAAGGGGAAGAGGCAGGTGAGAGGCCTGAGCAGGGGCTTGCCGAGAAGACTTGGGACACACAGCTCAGGGCAGAGGCCTGGCTGGAGAGAGCAATTCCCAGTAATAAATGACTAGTAAGAAAGCTGGCAATTCTACTTCTAGTAATAGTGACCCTAGAAGATCAGAAAAAAACATGGGGAAGATGGGTGCGGCGGGATGGTGAGTCCAGGGATTTCAACGGGGCACGTGGGACACTCCCACCGCCCTCAGCGTGCACATCCAGGGACGCAGATGCCCCACAGAGCAGGAGGATATTCTTATGTCCTGCAGAACTTTCCGGTGCTCTGACCGACGTCCATGAAGGTGAAAACCTGTTTATACTCATCCGAACCTGGACCCCAGAACCCTCTGACATCGCACCACAAAGCATTTCTGGTCCAACCTTAGCCCTCGTGGTCCCTGCCAGCAACACTGGTGGCCTGCCTGAACACTTATGTACGAGGTACCTGTTACTGTGTTATTTTAATGCACTTCCCCTTTATTTCTATTACCATTAGGGTGCTACATAGAAGACTTCTGAAATTATGTGGGGGGGTTACTGATCTATGAAGTTCATTTCAGGATGAGAAAGTGGGCCCATGAAATAAGCATCAGTGAAGGGGGTGTGAGCCTCCTCCCGCCTCCCAAAGTGGTGCTGGGGCTGACCTACTACCCTCCCAGGCCCCCCAGGCCCCAGCTTAGCTTTCTCTCCCTCTGAGAAGCCGCTGACAGTAAAGGCCTCTCCCCTAGGGGCTCCAAGGCTAACAACAGTCACTGGGCTAGGCACTTCCTCGGGCACCATGAGGGAGGATTGTGATCCCCATGTGACAGGTGGGGAAACCGAGGCCCAAGAGGTGAATGACTTCGCCACGGCTAGGACACGGGTCCTGACCCACCATGCATTCTCCCTCTCAAGGGTATCTGGATGTCAGTGATCCGGGGAGCCCCCCGCCAGCCCATGGTCCCGACCCTGTTCAGAGCCCCGCTCACCCGGAACCTTCTCCGCAGCATGCTGTTGAGGGCGAAGTCATCCTTCCAGGCGCTCTGGGCCTCCTGGATGTGGCTGAGGGTGGGCAGGGCCTTCTTGAGTGTGCTGCGGTCAGCCTCACCATGCTCCAGGCGGAACATGGCATCTGTCTCCAACTTCTGCTTCTTCTCATGCTCTGCAACAGCGAGAGCATGGCTGGGCCTCTGGGCACCTGGCTGGGCTGGCCACGGGTGCACTGGGCAGGCAGGCGGTACTTACCTGTTGTCAGCACCTGCTCATTGTCCTCCATGTCCCAGCGCTCCTCCTTCCGCTGGGCACCACTCACAATGACGTAGTCGCAGTTGGCTGGGTCCGTCTGCATCTCGATGTGGTTTACGCAGAGGTGGCATTTCATCCGGAACCTGGGCAGGGCAGAGGGCCAGAGTCAAGATGGGCTGGATCATTCAACAGACATTCCCTAAGCACCTACTGTGCACTCGGCTCTGTATCTGGGGACACAACATGAGTGAGACAGACACAGCCCCACCACCTGGGACTGACCTTTGCCACTGAGGCCAACGCTTGTTCATTCATCTGTTCATTCAACAGCTCTCACGAGCTACACTGCCCTGTGACAGGCTTAGTGCCAGCTGTGGGGGATGCGACAGTGAACCCAGACCCCCCTGCTCTTGGAAGGGTAATGGTCCAGTGGGGCATGTCGACAGCAGGGGGATGTGATGCTGCTTTAGGGCAGGCCTCTGTGGGAGGTGGTGTTTGAACAGAAGCTGAAGGTAAGGAGGGAAAAGGTGGGAGTGTCCCTAGGGGTGTGAGCAGCAGCGCAGGCAAGGGGAGAGCGGAGGACATGAGGGTGGGGGCTGATGGGGCCTTGTGGGCCACCTCGTGGGACTTGGGCTTTTACCAGAGTGAGGTGGAAGCCATGGAGGGCTCTGAGTGGAGAAGGGCCGTGTCCTGACTGACATATCAGGACAGCTTCCAGGCAAACCCCACAAGGAATGCACGTCAGGAAGAGGGTGCAAGCTTCCCTCCTGCTCAGACCCTGCAGCCCCTCACCCTCGGCCATCCCACATCCCTGAGATGCCCGCTGGGCTGCCCCCACCTGTAGATTGGGGTCGTGTAGTAATTGCCAACTTTCTTCTTCTCTGCGTTGTAACGAACACCTGGGAGGGAAGGGAGAAAGCAGAGGCTCAGGCTCAGGCCACGCCCAGGGTGTTTTCTCTTGGGGAGAGGGTGCAGTGAAATTCAAGGCAGGAAAGAGCTACATCAGGCTGGTGGGGATGTTAAGTTGGTTCCGACTCACAGCGACCCTGTGTACAACAGAACAAAACACTGCCCGGTCCTTCACCATCCTCACAATCGTAGTTATGCTTGAGCCCATTGCTGCAGCCACTGTGTCAGTCCATCTCATTGAGGGTCTTCCTCCTTTGTGCTGACCATCTACTTTACCAAGCATGATGTCCTCCTCCAGGGACTGGTCCCTCCCAATAACTGAACGTGGAAATTACTGAACCAGACTTGTGAGAGGGGTTCAAATGACAGAGGATGCTGGAGCTGGAGGGCCAGGTTCAAATCCCAGCTCCACCATGGGCCGGCTGTGCAACCTTACGCCAGCCACCTTGCCTCTCTGGGCCTCAACCTCCCCTCCTATTAAATGGGGGTAATGACAATGCTCCTGCACAGGGCCTGTTGTGAGGACCACAGAAGCTAATACACACGAATCACTTAGAACAGGGCCTGGCACTTGGCAAGCATTTAATAAGAGTTGGCTTTTATTTTTTTTAGAAAATGTTCAGAGTTTTTGTTTTGTGCTGATTTGTTGGTTAGAAAATATGTATACCTGACTCTGTTTGACCTTATTTATGGGGCAAAAAAAGCTTAAGCTAGAAAACCAGCCTGGGGCCTCACAGTGGCTGAGTCGGGCTGCAAACATATGCCTGTTTGCTCATCTCATGCCTGAAATGCAGTCAGTGCCCATGGCGAGAGAAGGAGCATGAGAACAGTGGCAGGAACGCTTCTATCACCTGCCTCAGGTGTGCCAGGTGCTGTCCTCAGCACTTAATATCATCTGGATTTCCAGATGAGTAAACTGATGTTGTCAGTTTAGACTGACATTATCAAAGATTTTACTTGGATCCACAGTCAACGCCCATGGAAGCAGCAGTTAAGAAATCAAATGTCATACTGCATTGGGCAAACCTGCTGTAAAAGACCTCTTTAAGGTGTTAAAAAGCAAAGATGTCACTATGAGGACTAAGGTGCGCCTGACCCAAGCCATGGTGTTTTCAATTCCCTCATATGCATGTGAAAACTAGACAATGAATAAGAAAAACGGAGAAGAACTGATGCCTCTGAATTATGGTGTTGGTGAAGAATACTGAATATACCATGGACTGCCAGAAGAACAAACAAATCTGTCTTGTAAGAAAAACAGCCAAAGTGCTCATTGGAAGCAAGGATAGCGAGACTTTGTCTCATGTACTTTGGACATGTTATCAGGAGGGACCACTCCCTGGAGAAGGACATCATGCTTGGTCAAGTAGAGGGTGAGCCCTTGACGAGATAGGCTGACACAGTGGCTGCAACAATGGCTCAAACATAGCAATGACTGTAAGGCTGGCCCAGGACCAGCAGGGTTTCCTTCTGTTGTACATTTCGTTGTGTTGTACACAGGGTCACTATGAGTTGGAACCGACTCAACGGCACCTAACGACAACAACAACAACAAACTGAGGCACACAACAGCTCAGTCGCGCCCAGGGTAACCCAGCTGGGAGACGGCGGAGCTGGGATTTGAACCCAGTCCCAGTTCACAGCCTGCCAATCACCAGGGCACCTGTATCCTCCCGACCCTGACTGGGAGCCCCACAGCTGGAGGCGCTCAGTGTCTAAGAAAGGAATTGTCGGGTGGGGTAGGTGCAGAGAAGGTGCAGGCTCACCCATGCCGATGTGGTTCTTACAGCCGTCGCACCAGATGTTATACGGCATCTCAAACCTGCAGAAACAGAAAGCACCTTCTCTGCACCTGCTCACCTGGGCTCTCCTACACCCGTGGTGCCGGCTCTAGGGCTTCGGCTCGCCTGGCCCAGGCTGAGGCCTGGTTTCTGGGAGCCAACTTCAGAGCAACATGTCCAGAGCCAAGGTACAGGACAACGTGAGGCCCTACACAGAGCAGCCTAATGACACTGAGTGAGCCAGTCCCCCTGTTATGCTGCTCTCCAGCCGGCTGACAGGCCGAAGGGAGTCCTCTTTTGGTGCTGCTCCATCTTGAACACCTCACTGGCTGAACTCCCTTTTGAACAAAGGAAAAGGCAGGCTGTAGGGAGCTGCCACCAAGTGGTGGAAACTGACGGGAGTTTTATTGTCATTGTACTTCTTTTCTTGTTGTTAGCTGCAGTAGAGGTGATTCAAATTCATGGCAACCCAGGTGTGCAGAGTAGGACTGCTCCATAGGGTTTTCAAGGCTGTGATCTTTTGGAAGCAGATCGCCAGGCTTGTCTTCCAAGGTGCCTCTGGGTGGGTTCAAACCACCAACTTTTTGGCTAGTAGTCGAGCGCTTAACCATTTGTGCCACCCAGGGACTCTATTTATGACATAGAGTCCCTAGGTAATGCCCTTGGCTGCTAACTGAAAGGCTGGTGGTTTCAGTCTACCCAGGGGTGCCTTGGAAGAAAGCCCTGACTATCTGCTTCTGAAAACTCAGCTACTGAAAACCCCATGGAGCACAGCTCTGCTCTGACACACGAGATTGCTGTGAGTCAGAATCGAGTCAATGGCAACTGGCGTGGATTTTGTTACGCAGCAATAGCTGACTAATAGTGACTGCCCACAGCACTGGGCAAATCAGGAATGCTGAATTCTCCTGCAGGGGGACGCAAGGTGGCACAAAGGCAGGGGTTTTCAGGTGGTGCCAGGGCCTTACCTGATGATGAGGATGCCCTGTGACAGCTTCCGAGCCCGCTCCCGCAGGGGGTGGCTGTTGTGGTATCGGTTGAGAGAGCCATGCTGTGTAGAAAGGACAAGGGGGCAGGTCAGCACTGCTGGGCAGGGGAAGCGTGGGGCCAAGCCTCACAGGTTGAGAGCAGCCTCATTCTTATGTACTGTAGAGGGTTTTAACAGCAACATGAAGGCACCGAAGTCCAGGTGAAGCACGTGGGCTTGGAGTCAGAATAACTGAGTTTGAACGTTCTCTCTCCTGATTGTGTGCCGAAAGAGCCGTGTGACTCACCCTCCCCTTTCAGCTTCCTAAGCCTCAGTTTCCCCTATCTGTCCAAGGGGGACAATGATCATAATTACTGCAGGTTTGTGGGAAGGACGAGGCAAGATGATAATACTGGCAAACGTTCACTGGGTATTTCATGTGCATTATCTCCTCTTAAGTCCCCAATGACTCTGTGAGGCCAGCTCATTGTACCTCCCCGTTTTGACATCTGGGGAAACTGGTGTGGAGGGGATGCATAAGGTGCCCAGGACCATGCCACCAGGACGCACTGACTGAGCACCTACTGTGTGGGGGCATAGCCAGGAACGAGACAGACAGACATCCCAGCCCTCGCAGAGCAGACGTTCTAGTGGAGGAAAGGATGATACACAACTACATGAAAAATATGTCAGCCACTTAGGAGGGCTGTGAAGATAAATACAGCCCCAGGAGACGTGACAGACAGTGAGAAGGTGGTCAGGGAGGCCTCTCTGAGAAGGTGACATTTGAGGCATCTAAAGGAGGTGAGAGAGTGGGCCTAGTGGTGGAGGGGAGGAAGAGGCCCCAGACTGAGGGAACAGCAGAGGGAACAGTGGCCTGGGGCTGGAGGCAAATGGGGTGCCCTGACCCTGGAGCTCGTGTGCTGACCCTCACCCCGAGCTCTGCCATCAATACACTAAACCCACAAGTGGGCACAGAGTAAAGGGTCATCAATGAGAACCACATTCATCACCCAGAAGTGGGGACAGCCTTGAGGCTCATGTCACCAGCAGAAGGCAGTGAGACCTCAGGGGATGCCCGTCCTTCTGCAGCTGTGGCTCTGACTCCACCCCATTGCCTCTCCAAGAGGGAATCACATGCTGGGCAGTTTCTTCCCTGTAAATGCTTATTATTTTGTTACGCAGCAATAGCTGGCTGATACAGTGGCTCTCTGTTTTATGGAACTAAGGCCCTGTGGCTCTGGGCAGATAGAGCGCACCGAATTCTCCTTGAGACTGTCCTGCGGGTTTCTTCTATCGCAGACCCAGAGAAGGGAGCCTGGCCTTTACCTTTTCAGGATTGAAATCCGGAGGGTAGTACTTGTTTACACCTTTTCTTTCACCCTGGAAAGCAGAAGAGAGAGATGATTCAGATGAGTCCCACAGTAAACCTACCTGTGCAGCCTCATGGATGGGACCTGGATGAGAGAGACTGGGCTTGGTGTCTGATCTCAGGCTGGGGACTTGGGTGAAAAATCTGCTGTTGTTGTGGAAAATTCCATGCAATTATGATTCTCCTTGAACAGGGGCTTTCAAACTTGTTTTGACCATGACTCTCAGTAAGAAATATTTTACACTGTAACTGTGTAACACTCTGTAATACAACTGAGACACAGGTATCATGAAATACCACCCTGACTGTGAGATTCTCTCTCTTTTTAAATGCTGGCTGCCACCTGCTAAAATGAGTTAATGACCCACCAAAGCAGTGGTTCTCAAACATGGCTGCATGTAATAAGAACCTGTGGAGCTTCTAAAATATGGATACCTGGGAACCACCCCCCAGAGGTTCCCCTGACAGGGAACCTGGTCTGGAGCATGGGACTTGGACACTGGGCTTTGAAAAAGCTCCCTAGAAAACAGGCACAGCAAACACTCGTACATGCATGTGCATAGTAGCATTACTCACAATAACCAAACGCCCGTCAATAATAAATCGTGGTCCATCCCCACAACGGAATATTAGTCAGCCATAAAAAGGAATGAAGTGCTAATATTTGCTACAACATGGATGAACCCCAATAAAAATACTATGCTCAGTGAAAGAAACCAGATACAAAAGGCCACAGAGTGTATGATTCCATTGATGCGGAACAGAAACAGAACCCAGATTAGTGGTTACCAGGGGCAGGGGAAGGTGGAATGGAGAGTGACTGATGAATGGGTACAGGGTTTCCTTTTAGGGTGAGGACAATGTTTGGAACTAGATAGAGGTGGTGGTTGCACAACATTGTCAATGTCCTAAATGCTACTGAATTGTTCACTTTAAATGGCTACTTTCATGTTATGCAAATTTACCCTCAGATAGAAAAAAACAAAAACCCAGAAACAAAGCTCCCCAGATGATTCTAGTGTGGGGCTGCTGAGGCTGCAACCACTGTACCAGAAGAACCCAGAACTCAAGAGTGCAGGAGGAGGGGAAGGGGAAGAAAGGGCTATTGTGGAGGCGACAAAGACCAGAGAGGGGCCCAGAGAGCACAGACTATCTACTCACCATCTTGGAAGCTGCCTACCACTCCCCACCCTCAACGCGGCCGATATGAAAAGACGATGAGACACGTGTGTTGTGTTGCGTCGACCCGCTGCCCGGTCCTGCCCTCCTGTGGGGCCTGGCAGAGGGTCCCCAGGGCTTCCCTGTGAAGATGCCACGGGCTGTGTGGTGGTGCCAGTCCAGCTGAGCTTCTCCCTGAGTGTGGAGGCATCCAAACAGTAGCGTTTGTCTGTTTAGAAAGAGAGCGTCCAGTCCACTGTACATTCAAAATATCTCAAATCTGACACTTCTCACTCCCTCCACAGCCCTACCCTGGTCCAGCCCCCGCTGTCTCTGCCTGGACCAGTGCAGGTGCCTCCTCCCTGGTCTCTCACTCCTCCCATGGCCTATAGGGTCCCCGCCTGCCTCTCTACACCCACTACTCAGCCCGCCCCCTCGCTCCCTCTGCCCCAGCCACACAGGCTTCCTGACTGTCTTCAAAGGCCAAATGCAGAGCCTTTGCACCTGCTGTTCCTCTGCCTCCAGCGCTCTTCCACCAGCTGTCTGCTTGGACAGCTAGCTCTTTGTCACAGGTCTCAGTTCAAACAGTACCTCCTTGAGAGGCCTCACCTGACCACCTGAGCTAAGGTCACTTCTTTCCTGGAGTTCCTGCACATCGCCCCGTGTCTGGTTACTTGTCTAAGATCTGTCTCCCCACCAGGAGGGCACACTGTGCTGTATCCCCCACGCCTAGAATAGTGCCTGCCTCTGAGAAATGCTGAGCAGGTGAATGACCGAGATAACTGAGTGAGGGGCCATAGGGATCAGTGCTGGTGACAAAGGTAGCAAATGCAAGGGCTCCTTAAACTGGTGGTAGCAGAGAGACTTTCAGGTCAAATAAAAGGAAGTTCTACTTTCCACAGCTAAAGAGACATTGTGAGACAGTGAAGCACCCTCTAGAATGGGGATCAGCAAACTTTTTGTGTAAAGGGCCAGTGAATACTTCCAGCTTTGAGGGCCAGATGATCTCTGTTCCAGCCACTCATCTCTGCCCTTGTAGCTTGAAAGCAGCAACAGACAATATGTAAATGATGAGTTTGGCTGCATTCCAGTAAAGCTTTATTTATCGACACTGAGGTTTATGAATTTCACATAAATTTCACCTGTCACGAAATCATCTTTTTTAATCACCAAAAAACATAAAACAATTCCTAGCTTGCAGGCTGAACAAAATCAGCTGGATCTGTTGCCCCCTGTGCTAGATGCAGGAGCTTGGTCACTAATGGTTTCTGCCACCTTGGCTGTATGATTTCTGATGTGTACCGCATGCCAGCATCATTTAGTCTGTATTATTCTTATTATCGCCTGTTGACAGATGAGGCCATGGGAGCATGGGCAGGTTAAATAAGTAGGCCACAATCTGAAGCTGCTGGGGAGCAGAGTGGGCTCAGAGCCCCAGATGTAAACTGTTCTGCCATCACTCTGAGCCTCTCTCTGTCTCAGATCCTCTGTCTGTAAAGTGTGCCTGCTGCACCAGACTTTCCTAAGGTCCATCCAAATCTAAAAATGCTTTTGCCAGGAGAAAAGCTAAGTGCCCAAGCTTTGAAGTCGCAGCTCCCTAGGTTTGAATCCCATGCCCACTAATCACTGGCTGGGTGTCTGAGCTTGGCCAGTGCCTCAGCTGCCCTGAGCTTGTATTGCCTCACCTGTGAAGAGAGGATGATGACCACAGGACTGACTTTCTAGGGTTGCTGTGAATGAAATAACACATAGGAAGTGAATGCACAGAGTACATGCCTGGTTCAGGGGAGCTGGGCATCTTAAGATAGTTTTACTAACCCAGTAAGTGGCACAGGTGGGACTCTAGGGTGGATTTATAGAACTCTCTGGTCCTTGGAGGTCCCTGGGTGGCACAAAAGGTTTGCACTCGACCACTAACCTAAAGGTTGGCAGTTGAAATACACCCAGCAGTGCTGTAGAAGAAAGGCCTGGTGATCTGCTTCTGTAAAGATTACCTGTTGCCGTCAAGTCGATTCCAACTCCTAGGGACCTTATAGGGCAGAACTGCCCCATAGGATTTCCAAGGCTGTAATCTTTTTGTCGCTGAGCAGCTGATGGGTTCGAACCACTGACCTTTTGGTTAGTAGCTGAGTACTTAAAACAATAGGCCACCAGGGCTCCTTTCTATAAAGATTACTGGCAAGAAAACCCTAACACATATGGTCACCATGAGTCAGAACTGACTGGATGGCAGAGGATTTGGTTTTGGTTTGCCTAGTCCATAGATCTCATCTGCCTGGGGCTTACTGCTTGAGCTGGAACACTGACTCTGCTGCTTCCTAGCTGCATGACTTTGGGCAAGTTGCTTAACCCCTCTGAGCCTCAGTTTCCTCATGTGTAAAATGGGGCTCGTAAAAATATCAACCTGACAGGGTTTCTATGAAGACTCAGTGAGTTAACGTGCTTGAATAGCGTTAGAAGCCCAGTAGGCATTAAACATCATCAGTTTTTAGTTATTGCTCAAGCCCAGCATTTTACGCGCACCTTACAAACTCTTTACCATGACCTGACGAGGTAGGGGCTTACTGGTTCCATTTTCCAGATGACAAAACCGAGGGGCCCGTCAGGCATAAAATGGGGCGGGCTGGGGGTCACGGTCGTGCCCGAGGCCTGGGGGACTTGGGTCGGGGATCGCGACCAGGGCACTGGGCCGGCTCTGGGCGTCGGGTCCGCTTGCACAGAGGCTCCCCGGCTCCCAGCGACTGCGTCCGCGTCCAGCGGCTTTAAGGCCGAGATGAGGCGACGGTTAGACCCCCGACTTCAGCTAGCCTGCCCGCCCCTCAGCCCGCACTTACCTGCCCTCCTCCTTACGTCACGCCGCGACTGCGTCAGGAAGTACGGGCCTGGCGCACAAGGGGGCGAGGCTTTTGCCCCGGAGCGCCGGCGCGAGGCGGAGCGAGGCAGCAGCGCCACGCTGATTGGCTGAGTGACGAAAATGCCGCGAGCTCCCAGGCGTCGGAGCGGACCAATACGAGCCTGCCCCCCGAAGTGCCGTAGGCCTCGGCCCCGCCCACTCTGTCAGGGCCAATCCGAGGCCGCCTCCATGACAGCGTCCTCCCCGGGGAACTCAGTCTTGCACGCTAAAGCCGTAAAGCAAACAGGGGTTGGCAAACTGCTGACGCGAGACAAATCCGAAGAGCCGCTTAGCTTTGAGGGGTGGAGAGCTAAGAATTGTTGTTCGGTGCTGTCGAATTGATTCCGACTCATAGCAACCCTATGCACAACAGAAGGAAACACTACCCAGTCCTGCGCCGTCCTCACAATCGTTGTTATGCTTGTGCCCATTGTTGCAGCCACTGTGTAAATCCGTCTCGTTGAGGGTCTTCCTCTTTTTCGCTGACCCTCTGCTTCATGATGTCCTTCTCCAGGGACTGATTCCTCCTCATAACGTGTCCAAAGTATGTGAGACGTAGTCTCGCTATCCTTGCTTCTAAGGAGCATTCTGGCTGTACTTCTTCTAAGACAGATTTGTTTGTTCTTTTGGCAGTCCATGGTATATTCAATATTCTTCACCAACACCACAATTTAGAGGCATCAATTTCTTCGGTCTTCCTTATTCATCGTCCAGCTTTCACATACATATAAGGCGATCTAAAATACCATGGCTTGAGTCAGGCGCACCTTAGTCTTCAAGGTGAAATCTTTGCTTTTTAACACTTTAAAGAGGTCTTTTGCTGCAGATTTGTCCAATGCAATGCGGCGTTTGATTTATTGACTGATGCTTCCATGGGTGTTGATTGTGGATCCAAGTAAAATGAAATCCTTGACAGCTTTAATCTTTCCTCCATTTATCATGATGTTGCTTATTGGACCAGTCGTGACGATTTTTGTTTTCTTTAGTTGAGGTGGAATCCATATTGAAGGCTGTGGTCTTTGATGTTAATCAGTAAGTGCTTCAAGTCCTCTTCACTTTCAGCAAGCAAGGTTGTGTCATCTGCATGTCGCACGTTGTTAATGAGTCTTCCTCCAATCCTGATGCCTCGTTCTTCTTCATATAGTCCAGTTTCTCTGATTATTTGCTCAGCATACAGATTGAATAAGTACGGCGAAAGCATACAACCCTGATGCACACCTTTCCTGACTTTAAAACATGCAATATCCCCTTGTTTGGTCTATGTACAGGTTCCTCATGAGCACAATCAAGTGTGCTGGAATTCCTATTCTTTGCAATGTTATCCATAATTTGTTGTGACTCACATAGTCGAATTGCCTTTGCATAGTCAATAAAACACGAGTAAACATCTTGTATTCTCTGATTTCAGCCAGGATCCATCTGACATCAGCAATGATATCCCTCGTTCCATGTCCTCTTCTGAATCTGGCTTGAATTTCTGGCAGTTCCCTGTTGATGTACTGCTGCAGCTGCTTTTGAGTGATCTTCAGCAAAATTTTACTTGCGTGTGATATTAATGATATCTTTTGATAATTTCCACATTCTGTTGGATCACCTTTCTTCGGAATAGCATAAATATGGATCTCTTCCAGTTGGTTGGCCAGGTAGCTGTCTTCCAAATTTCTTGGCATAGATGAGTGATCCCTGGTGGCACAGTGGTTAAGAGCTATGGCTGCTAACCAAAAGGTCGGCAGTTCAAATCCACCAGGTACTCTTTGGAAACCATTCTACTCTGTCCTATAGGGTCACTATGAGTTGGAATCAACACAGTGGCAACGGGCTTGGAGCTAAGAATAGCGTTTATGTTTTTAAATGGTTGGGGGGGGCAGGAAAGAGCATTTCATGACACATAAAAATATGAAATTCAAATTTCAATGTCCATAAAGTTTTATTGGAACATAGCCATGCCCATTAGTTTACCTGAAGTTAAATGGTTGCAACTGAGCACTTATGGCTCCCAAAGCCCAAAATATTTACTCCCTGGCTCTTTCCAGAAGAAACCCTTACCTTAGAGCCTCCAGACGGCCAATCTGCTTAGGGAAGTGGCTTTTTAATTTACTTTAATGCCCTGTAGGGCCTAACAGAATCCGAATGCTCATTTGTTCATTCAACAGACATTTATCAGGTGCTTGCTATACGCCAGGCTTCAGGATTGAGAGGAAAGAACACACCCTCTTCTCGGTGATGAGGCAGCCAAGTCAGCTGGCAATTTATCAAGGGCGTGTGAGAAGTGGTAACAATACTACTACTACTTCTACTTGTTGTTGTGTTGCTGTTGAGTCGGTTTTGACTTATGGTGACTCTAGGTACAACATAACAAACTGTTGCTTGGTCCTTCGCCTTCTTCATAATCCTTGTTATGTTTGAGTTCATTGTTGCAGCTATTGTGTAGTGCCTTCTTACCTAGGGGCTCATCTTCCAGCACTGTATTGGACAATATTCTATTGTGATCCATAGGGTTTTCATTGGGTAATTTTTGGAAGTTGATTTCCAGATCTTTCTTCCTAGTCTGTCTTCGTCTAGAAGCTCCGCTGAAACCTGTCCACCATGGGTGATCCTGCTGGTACTGGTGGCATAGCTACCAGCATCATAGCAACACGAAAACCATCACAGTACAACAAACTTACAGACGGATGGTGGACTACTACTACTATATTATTCAGTGCCAGGCTCTGTTCTAAACCCTTTGCAAGCAAATTCTCATATAATCATGGTGCTGTGTTTTGAGTGCTACTATTCAGCAGGCAACTGTAAGTGACTTATGTACTTCTGTCATCTCATGGGGATGCTTCTGGAGGTGGATACTCTTTGTTGTTGTTAGGTGCCGTCGAGTGGGTTCAACTCATAGTGACCCTATATGCACAGCAGAATAAAACACTGCCTGGTCCTGCACCATCCTCACAATTGTTGTTATGTTTGAGCCCATTGTTGCAGCCACTGTATCAATCTATCTCACTGAGGGACTTCCTATTTCTTGCTGACCCCTTTACTTTACCAAGCATGATGTCATTCTCCAGGGACTGGTCCCTCCTGATAACATGACCAAAGTAAGTGCGATGAAGTCTCACCATTCTCGCTTCTAAGGAGCATTCTGGATGTACCTCCTCCAAGGCAGACTTTTCATCCTTCTGGCAGTCCATACTATAGTCAATATTCTTCACCAACACCAGAATTCAAATGCATCAATTCTTCTTTGGTCTTCCCTATTCATTGTCCAGCTTTCACATGCATGTGAGGCGATTGAAAATACCATGGCTTGGGTCAAGCACACCTTAGTCCTCAAAGTGACAGCTACTTGGCCAACCCACTGGAAAAGATCCATATATCTGCCCATTTCAAGGAAAGGTGGTCCAATGGAATGTGAAAATTATTGAACACTATCAATATCACACACAAGTAAAATTTTGCTGAAGATAATTCAAAAATAGTTGTAGCGGTACATCGATAGGGAACTGTGAGAAATTCAAGCTAGATTCAGAAAAGGATGTGGAAAGAGTGGAACGAAGGATGCTCTTTATCATTCCTATTTTACAGATGAGAAGGCAGGTCCAGAGAGGTTAAGTAACTGGCCCGAGGTCACACAGCTAGTGAGGGGTGCAGGATTTGACCTATGATGCCAAAGCCAGCGCCGTTAACCTCTGAGCTATACTACTTTGGGTTGTACCAGTTAAACACAAGGGAACCCAGAAGAATCTTTAAGCAGGGTGGGGTGTCTGGCAGTGGACAGATGTAGGGGCCAGTAAGACTGTTCAGAGGCAGAGGAA